ACAGAAGGTATTTGAGATAATGGCAACACTTCCGTGCATTGAGTGGGCCGCATTCATCACTTCCCTGACTTGTCTTTTGTTTAGTCAGTGAGATCAGTGCAAAATAAATACCATGTAAAAGTCAAATGCTACCACTGTGATTTGCTCATCTTTCACACCCACACAAGCTTCAGGGCAATGGCAAAAGGGGCCCCTTTGGAACTGGAGCAAGACCCCATGCCCATGTTTTTCAACAATTCCCAGTGAGTTAAGAGCACTCTGGTGTGTGAAGGGGATGCAAGGCAGTTATGACTGCAGGGTGTACATTGGTGTTAAAGCATCTTGAACACAGCCATGTGGTGTAGAGGAAAGGAGAAGTTAGCCCAAAGTCTGCAGGAGAGAAAATATTAATCATTCTACAGTTGAAATGAAACCCTAAATGGCAAGTGACTCCCAGAAGCTGTTGCAAAAAAAAGCAAACATCATTCTGGGATGCATTCACAGGAGTGTTGTGAGTTAGACAGGGGGGCTGTGTCTAGACTGGAAAGTTTTTCCGCAAAAGCACCTGCTTTTGCGGAAAAACTTGCCAGCTGACTACACTGGCCACTTGAATTTCCGCAAGAACACTGACGATCTCATGTAAGAAATCAGTGCTTCCTGCAGAAATACTATGCTGCTCCCGTTCGGGCAAAAGTCCTTTTGCGCAAAAGCTTTTGTACAAAAGGGCCAGTGTAGACAGCTCAGATTTGTTTTGTGCAAAAAAGCCCCGATCGCGAAAATGGCGATCGGGGCTTTTTTGCGGAAAAGCGTGTTTAGATTGGCACGGACGCTTTTCCGCAAAAGCACTTTTTGCGGAAAAGCGTCCGTGCCAATCTAAACACGCTTTTCCGCAAAAAAGCCCCGATCGCCATTTTCGCGATCGGGGCTTTTTTGCACAAAACAAATCTGAGCTGTCTACACTGGCCCTTTTGTACAAAAGCTTTTGCGCAAAAGGACTTTTGCCCGAACGGGAGCAGCATAGTATTTCTGCAGGAAGCACTGATTTCTTACATGAGATCGTCAGTGTTCTTGCGGAAATTCAAGTGGCCAGTGTAGTCAGCTGGCAAGTTTTTCCGCAAAAGCAGGTGCTTTTGCGGAAAAACTTTCCAGTCTAGACACAGCCCCCCTGTCTGACTTTCAAGTATCTAAAAGGTTGTTTCAAGGAGGAGGGAGATAAATTATTCTCCTTAACTTCTGAGGATGAGACATGAAGCAATGAGCTGAAACTGCAGCAAGGGAGGTTTAGGTTGGACATCAGGAAAAACTTCCTAACTGTCAGGGTGATTAAGTACTGGAATAACTTGCCTAGGGAGGTTATGGAGTCTCCATCACTGGTGATATTTAAGAGCATGTCAGACAAATGACTGTCAGGGATGGTCTAGATGAATGACGGTGCTTGGTCCTATGAGTACATGACCTCTTGAGGTTCCTTCAGGTTCTAGTATTCTATGATTCTAGGATAAGCCTCTATAACAGAAAGGGAGACAGTTCTACACTTAAAGACACAGAAAACAGAATGACATCTCCATCCAGTTATTTAACTACAACTTGCACAGAATACAGCTTTGAAGCTTTGTCTGTCCTCCATAATTTTTCCAGTACAAACCACTTTCTTTTTCTTTCTGTTTCATTTGTACAGTGTAAATTGCAGAAAAGCTTCCCTGAATGAGTAAAATGTGAAATATTATGTGTGCAGCACTAAATGCCCATTTTCTGTCTTATGAGTGGAATAAAGTGCTGTGTTGCTGATATAAGGCTGCTCTACAACATGCTGAATTACATTCTCTTGACCTTAATAATGGTATCAATCTGCGCTAGTTGGAGGTGATAATTACATTTACTGGGAAGATGGATGCTTCCAAATGACATTTAAATCCATGATTGTCTCAGCAGTTTGGTCTGGGAACAGTTTTTAATCAATGCTTTCCCTCTTGCTTATGGATTATGGTTATTGGGCAGTTCTCCAGTAGAACATAAAAAAGAAATAATTCCCTGTATTCTGTAGCCAAGAGACATATTGACCTAGATAATCTTCTTTCGGTCAGATCCCTTATTTTCAGTCGGGGTCAGCAATGTGTCTGTACACCTAAGCTAATGATTGGGCCGCATGAGTGGACTTCCTTCAATTCAGTGTGCTGCGACATTATTGTAACTAAGCTGCTCTCCCTGGATAGGGTAGTTTTGCTAACTGTGCTTGCCTACGTCACAATTGCAGGGTGTGTGCGGATTGAACTGTAGCAGCGCTTTGATTGGATGAAGAGGGAGAATACGGTTCTTACAGTCAATGGTGTGTGCAATCAGCACACACCTCACTTCATGTGTCCTTGTTTTATGTGCGTGTCACTTCAGTAATACTGGTAGGAAAAAATCTACATGGACAGAAACCAGCAGCACGTGGCAACGTGGTTGTGGGTAATGGTATAGAAAATGTCCCATGAGCTACACGCAGAATCCTGATGGGCTGCATGTGGACCATGGGCTGCAGGTTGCCCACCACTTCTATCCATGGACACAAGTGTATAAAAATGTGGCGGTCCATGGTAATTTTTCAAAACATTGAATGATATAGCCCCCTCCCAATGTCCATCTCTAAGTATGGTAATTTTGTCTAGTATTAATTACGCAACATGTTGGTGCTGACCCCTGGTTTTCAGTATATGATTGTGTAACTTTTTTGTATATATATATGGTGTGAGACATATTTATTTCACATATATAGTCTGCAATAACCAGAACTTTAGTGCTGCTCTTTGCTTCTTTTTTAAAAGAATAACTAGCTACATTCAATTTAATGAAAATATAAATATTATGGTGATTACACAGTAAAATAATAATGACAGCATCTTTCTGAATACAAGTGCAGGTTGTTGAAACATTATAATCTGGATTTTATGTGGACATTGAGAATATTTTGGCTTTTCCCTCGGAAGAAGTCCTATTTCCAAGGACAGTGCGTTGGGATATATTATTGTGTGCATGCACATAGATGTCTGCTCCACTAAATTAAATTCTATTCTCTGAACTCTATTGTGTGAATCTTCTGAATATAGATCTCACTGTTTGCTTACAACAAGCCCTGGCCTGGGCCTCAGAGAGTGGTTGTCCTTGCTCTTACAGCAAATAAGAGTATTCCATCGTGGTCCAGAGTGCTAGCAGTGCAATACATGCGGGGGAGAGAGAGGGTTCATGGTGGAACCACATGATGTAGCAGTGCACACTTGACTATAAGGAGACAATGATAGTGAGCAGTGACAGTGTCTGCATAAAAATGTCTCCATGATGTGTCCCTGCTTGTGCTCTGCATACAGCCAAGTTATTCAAATTAAGCGTGAGGCAGAGGAGTTCTCTGTAGGTTTTTAGTGAGCGCTGGGCTATAAACACCAGAGATTAAATCCTTGTCCTATTTGAAGTTAATGACATAGTTCCCATTGGCTTCCATAGAGGCAGAGTTTCATCCTAGCATATTTTTGGGAGGCTCACGATTGCTGGTTTGCATGCCCTGCCTTATCATTTTAGGACTGCCTGTGAATGCTCATTTGCTCAGCCTGGTGTGGCATTGTCAGGTTGCTCATGAGACTAAGTTGTTGTGTGTGCAGTTTTGTTATTGTAGGATAGCTCATGAGTGCTACTTTTTTGGCTTTTGTATTTTATTTTACGAAAAGATAAACAGAGAGAATTAATGGATAAGCAAAAAGGATAGGTTGGATTTGGAGCCTATCAAAATTGATAACATAATATTAATGGGGCAATTTGAATGGGACAGGGAATAACATTTGTGAATTGATCAATATCTGAACAGTTTCAATATCCTAAAGAAGACAATTTCTAGGTCTATTCAGCTGTTTCAAGGATAGCTTGATTTTTTACTAAGATACCTATTCCCTGAAAAAGAATGATATCTTCATTACTTTCTCTTCAAGTGTATTTTGTTCTCTTAAGGCCTGACTCTTTATTTGTTAGATTAAAACCTTTGCAAGTTCAAGCACTAGAATGAGCTTTTGGTCCATTTGCACTTTGTGCCATGAATTGGCATCAGGAAACAGCTTAAAGACTGGATTTTTGCTGAAGCACAGCCATTTTGATATTGGCTCCATTTTGTTATGTCAGTTAATAACTTACCTTTTTTTTCAGTTGAGTAGTCTTGGGCCAAATCCTACAACATTTATTTGCATGGGTTATCTTATTGGCATTAGTGGAACCACTCATGTGAGTAAGGGCTGAAGGGAAGGGCCAAAAGTTGAAGACTAACCAATTTTACAGAGGATTTACAGTCTGTGGGAATATGCTTACGGAAGATCGGAGTGAGCATCTCAGGACTGGCCTGTTAGTAAACTGCTATGGAGTTAGCAGCAAATAAATCACCCCAGAGATTTACTCCTGGTTTTCTGAAACAATAACCATTCACTTTTAAGAAAATAACAACATGGTTCTTTACATTAATATAGTGGTTTCTTCTGAGGATCTCAAAGCACTTTTCAAACATTCATGAATTCAGTCTCATAGCAAAGCCATTTTACACATGCATACTTTGAAAAACTTAGGAACAGATTCTTGCTTGCATGAAGCACCTTTAGCCTGCTGTGGGAATCTAAAGGGGGCCTTAATATGCAGATTATTGTCCCTTTACACTGCCAGAGTGGAATAAAGGGATATTATTGTTAATAAGAATCAGGCCCAGAAAGCTGAAAATCCTGATCCAGTAAAGCACTTCTACATCTGTGTAAGATGTTGGCCATACTGACTTACCCAAGTCTATACTAACAAAGCTTAGAATAGAACCCAGAATTCTGAGATTTTTTTATCTTGCTCTAACCACTACACTAGATTCCTTTCCTCCCTATTTTCTTCTGCTAGCGCAAGTGTACTTGATGGGTGGTAGTTTATTTGGGGGGCATATGAAGAAAAACCCTGCTCTGTTCGTACAACAGCCCAGATGTCTGTACTGTTTCTAACTTTGATGTGTGCTTTGTTCCTTCTTTCAGGTGAGCCTTCAAGATGGTCTTCATCCCATTGTGACTGCTGCTGCAAAAATGGCAAAGGAGATAAGGAGGGGGAAAGTGGCACATCTTGCAATGAACTATCCACTTCCAGCTGTGACAGTCAATCAGAAGCAAGCTCCCCACAAGAGACTGTCATCTGTGGCCCAGTCTCCCGTCAACCCAACATACAGACTCTAGATCGGCCAGTCAAGAAGGGGCCAGTACAACTGCTCCAGCAGTCTGAAATCCGAAGGAAAAGTGACCTGCTCCGAACTCTAACATCTGGCTCTAGGGAATCCAACTCTAGCAAAAAAAAAGCAGTGAAAGAAAAGCTCTCTATTGAGGAAGAGCTAGAAAAATGCATCCAGGATTTCCTTAAAATCAAAATCCCAGACAGGTTTCCAGAAAGGAAACACCCCTGGCAATCAGAACTGCTACGAAAGTATCATCTATAGGAGCGGGGTGGGGCAGGGGAAGATAACCTTAGTACAATTTACAGATCAAGATCCTTAATGATAAAAATAAAAGGAATCATAACAATTTGTTAGGTCACACAAATCCATCTTGATAGTACTGACTAATTTGCCTATTTCACCTTAACATTTATAGTCACAGGGTAATGATATTTTTAAAGTCGTGGAAGCACAATGAAAAATGCTTTTGTTTGTAAGCTCTTAGTTTTACAGAAGCGGAATTCTTTATACACTAAAGGCATAACAACATCACCAACTAAAGAGACCCACATACAGATGCACCTCATGCCAGTGGAAAAAGTGCACACACGATCAGGCAGTGGACGGGGGAGGGGCGAATCCCACAAACTGCATGTCTTTTGAATTCTCCTTTTAATTAATTTAGTTGGAGAGGTCGGGGCAGATGTACACGATTTAAAGAAACAAGCTATGCCATGCCAATTGTCATGAAGGATGTGTATACATATACAATGTGTATATGTATATTCATTATGAATTTTTCTGTTTCTCTCCTTAGAAGTCTGCACTTTCTCAAAAAAAATATAGCAGTTGTTAGCACTCTGTGTGCTCCATTTCCCCTCTAGCTTTATGAGGTGTGAATAGTAGAAGGCTGTCTCTCTCCATCTGTTATTTTTTGGGGCATGAGGAGGTTGGAAGCCGAGCACTATAAAAGTGTCGGTGTCTGTTGCAATAGTGGGTAAAATATTCTGCTTGTTTTTGACAGCGATGTATGTTTTAATCTCCTTTGTTACAATACTTGTTCCCCACAGCTTCCAGATGATAAAGGGGTTATTATGGAAGGATTCCAGTTGGAAAGGGGGATCCAGAGATGGTGGGTCAAGTCACTGAGTCAGCAGGCTCAGCTGATTTATATCAGCCTGCCAGAGGCTGCTGCCAAAATGTCTTTGGACCAAACAAATGAGGAGAACAGCCTCCCATTCCCATCCGACACAGATGCAATTATAAGAAATTATAAACCTAACAAGATGCATTTTGTGCTCTGACTGGCAGGAAATTGATTGTTAAAATGGCAGGCACCACGCCACTCCAGCAAGATACATTTCAAAAGGAAATTAAAAATTGAATAGAAACCAAACCCACTCTGTCATGGAAGCTGCCTTATCAGCATCCTTTCTGTAGTCAGTAGCAAGCTTCTGGGTGGCAGGCTTCATTGAGTACCATTTGTTACCCATAATGTGTAAGAAACAGGAAAATATCAGCAAACTCAGCTCCTTGGGACTGCAGGAAGGAGAGGATGCCACATGCAGGCCCAGCAGTACAGGAACCTACTGAGCCCAACAACAGCATAGTCCTCCTTGACAGGTTTGCCTAGCTAAATGCATCATAGTTGTCATTCTGGAGTGAATTCTTTCAGCAAACCAGTAAAAACGTAGTATCTCTCTACAGCCCAGTGGGAACCAAAGGTTCCATGGATGAGATTTGAAAAGTTAAGACTCAGGTAATGAACTGGAGTCCTGGGGATAGACTGCAGCTTCTGGGATAAAAGAGTAACAATACCAGTCTGTAAAGCCATTAAGTAGAGATGCATTGCATCAGTGGGGCCATGGAGTCTTTCAACAGGCTGGAGATGGGAGCTGGTCAGCTGGGGGAGATTGGCACATGCCAATCAATGTCTCAAGACATAAAGTGAGAGACACAGAAACTAATAAAGATGATGGCTTTAAAACTGGTGCTATTGACTTGGTTAGCATCAGTAACATTTCTAAAACTTCAGTTTCACTATCTAGCATTCCCAATACACAATGCTACCAGGGAGACAAATGTGCATAGGACAGAGGTATATTGGGACTGAACATAGTTTCTTTGAGTCTGAAGCCTGGTCTCTATATATGCAGGTGCAATTGGCTCCCACCTAATTTGCTCTTACATTTTATTGGACCTGCAAAATAAACTGTGAGGGCAAATTTGCACAATCAGGTAGGCAGAGGTGTCCACCATTGAACTGCAAGTGCAACCTAGGCACAGGTTTTATTGGTGCTAATTGCATGTGCAAATGGGAAGTAACATGTCTCAAACTATTGCAAAAGGTGAGATGCTTGTGAACAGTGTGGAGCATGAACCAGTCTCCAGATCAAAATGCCCAAATCTGATATGAGATTTGGCTTTTGTAGCTTGGAGTCATCTCTAGTTAAAGTTGCAAATTTACCAAGATATTTTATATGCAAGAGGGATGCAAGTTTGAGTAATGTTTAATTATTGCCATGTGTAAAGATAGCAAAGAAGAGCTTGATCTGAGAGGTATTGAGCTAAATTGGAAAACTCTACACTGCTCAGGATCAGGCACTAAACTAATTCAGCTGTTAAAACACATGCTCACACCGAGACACAAGCACGCGTACTTTCACATACCTGTGCACACATGCACCTTCACACATCCATGTGCTTGCACACATACTTCTCTCTGCTTGTCACAGATTTGCTTTTCCTTTTTTAAAAACATTTGTCTTTCTTGTATATCATTTGTCCCTACTGACTGCTGCTGAACTGGAATCCCTCTTGATAGCACTGTGTTAAAAAGCTGGTCTGCAACTTCACTTGGGTGTGTCATTGCAAAGCAAGAACACTAGGTTGGCTCCCAAGGCATACAACTTGGTTTAAATGGTGCTTTTTCTCACTATGTCCACACCAGAGAGCAGCTCTGTTGTCTCTGACACTTTAAGGCTTGGAAACTGTGATTTTTCTCTTTTGACCATCAGTATCAGCCAGACCTGCCAAACTGGCATATGGCAAATCAGAGTGTGGAATGGGAGCCTCTTCCCTTTTGCAAGGTTTTAATATATTAGGCTTATGCAGAGTCCTCCTGCTCTATTGCTTTTACTCTCTGAAAGTCACAAGGAAGAAAGCTAACATTAATTCATGGTATTAGCAAATTAGGAAGAAAAATGAGCAGTGTTGACTTTCGCTGGCATGCATCAGAGAAATTTGTTTTGAGATTTCCAAGCACAGCATAGACAAGTTCTCAACTTTGATAGCTCAGAATGGCATACTCAGCTTCAGAGTTTCACTTTTTCTTCTTTTTATAATCCACCAAACATTGCATTACAAAATAAGGACAGAAAGAGGTGGAATGTGCCCTATTTTTTTTTCTTTCTCAGAGTTTGAATGGACTTGACTCAATTTGCACAGAACTGTACAATGATTAATATCTGCAGGAAAAATTAGACCAAATGAAATGCACCAGAATGAGTTTGATTTATGTGGCCTTCATATTTCCAGTATTAGATGAAATGGTTATTATTCTGCACCACTACTGAAATAAGAGTCTTAAACTTTAGTAATCGCTTGTCAGAAAGCTTGTATGTATACATTCTCCTTTGTTTTAATATAGAGTACTGGGATAGTGTATCTGTTCCTGGGACCAAATTCATCACACTGATTACCATGCAGTTCCACCAGAGATAACTTTGTTCCCTGGTGATTTCAGCTGTCCATTTCAGGTCGTGCTTCTTGGTATTTCAATTAGAAAGAGTGACTGCTCCACTAATGTACGATCAGTATAGACTTCCTGGGCCGGATTCTAAGGGTATGTTTATACCTGTAGCTAGGGGTGTGAGTCCCAGCTCTTGGAGACACAGTCGCCAAGCTCTTTCTAAGATAGCATGTTAAAAAAGGTACTGTCATCCCAGGAGCACAGAAGTGGAGAGAGATGGGAGAGGCTAATCAGTCGGAGTGCAAACACCATGAGCCTGTACTCAGGTGGCAAGTCTGAGCTGCTGCTCAAATTATTGTGAATCTCAAAACTATGATTTTTTTAATATGCGTGTTCAATAAGAGTAAGCTGGGAATTGCACCCCCAGCTCTAAGTATAGGCATAACCTTGTGCAGCTTTGGTAATGTAAAGTCACCCACTTTAAGAGTGTTTACGCCACTGGATTGGTGTATGAGGACTTGGTGAAAATGGGAATCTGGTCCCTTAGGCTATGTCTAGACTGAAAGCCTCTTTCAAAAGAGGCTTTTTCAAAAGATACTTTCAAAAAAGCCTCTTTCGAAAAAGAACATCTAGACTACAACCAGTACTTTTGAAAAAGCACAGTTTGCATTACATAGCACCTTTTTTTGAAAGAGCACTTTCGAAAAAAGGCGTTCTTCCTTGTAAAACAAGGTTTTCTGCGGTTGAAAAAACTGCCACGTTCTTTCGATTTACGTTCAAAAGAACATGGCAGCAGTCTAGATGCAGGGAAAGTTTTTTTTGAAAAAATCGGCCTTTTTTTGAAAAAACCCTGTAGTCTAGACACAACCCTTAGGGTACGTCTAGACTACATGCCTCTGGCAACAGAGGCATGTAGATTAGACTACCCAGCATAGGAAAATGAAGTGGCGATTTAAATAATCGCCGCTTCATTTAAATTTACATGGCTGATTTAGATTAAATTTACATGGCATGTAGATTAGACTACCCAGCATAGGAAAATGAAGTGGCGATTTAAATAATCGCCGCTTCATTTAAATTTACATGGCTGATTTAGATTAAATTTACATGGCATGTAGATTAGACTACCCAGCATAGGAAAATGAAGTGGCGATTTAAATAATCGCCGCTTCATTTAAATTTACATGGCTGATTTAGATTAAATTTACATGGCATGTAGATTAGACTACCCAGCATAGGAAAATGAAGTGGCGATTTAAATAATCGCCGCTTCATTTAAATTTACATGGCTGATTTAGATTAAATTTACATGGCATGTAGATTAGACTACCCAGCATAGGAAAATGAAGTGGCGATTTAAATAATCGCCGCTTCATTTAAATTTACATGGCTGATTTAGACTTTTTTGTCATCTGATGAAGTGGATATTAAATACTAAAGCTCATGATCCTATATATTTGTGTTAGTCTCTAAGGTGCCACAGGACCACTCGTTTTTAAAGTTACAGACTAACACGGCCACCCCTCTGAGACTTTTTATCCATAAAAGTCATAAGTATATGCTTCTGTTTGAGGTACATGTGATCTTGGGAGGGAGCTTAGACAGTTCTGAATAGGAAGTATCCCTAAATGCAGCTGTGAAGGACTCAACTCAAACTTGCCCCTCTCCCATTGCTCCCTGAAAGTATCAAAGTTTCCCCAATCCCTTCTTGTCCTCACAGCTAAGAAACAGGTGTGGAACTCACGTCTCTGGTGTGGCAGTTTAAGTGCTATACCACTATGAAGAAACAAGCGCATACCTTTCCTTTTCTTGCAGCATGTAACTTAATGCAAGATGAACCAAAATAGCAACCCTCTAAAATGAGGAAATATTAGCTTCAGAAATCATGAAAAGTGAGAAAAAAATTAGCAAGACTGGGTTCAGTGAATCAAGTCACAGAAAAATGGACAGATAGGAATGGACACCAGACTACACTTTTCCCTTGAAAGTGCTTACTACTGGTACTTGTTAGCTATGGCTCAGACCTGAAGTAGTTAGGTGCCACCTTTCAATAGCTAATGAGTGCCTAATGCCGTTAGGCCCTTTTGAAAAACCCAGTCTCTGTGTTTGCTGGGGCACCCACAATGTAGTGAATGCTGTGCTAATACTGGAGGGTGTTGCTCCTGCCCTGATAGGCCTGCAACATAGGAGACAAGCAGACAAATAGATGAACACATACAATGTAAAAGCAAGATGAGGGGCAGCCTTGGATCATAGAGAGTGTTCATTGGTATAGGGTTTATTAGGCATATCAACTATCCCTCCCATGTTATCCTCATTCTACTGGGTTAATTTCTCATAGACGCATGGGTATCTGAGGGAAGAATTTGGCCTCTGGATGGGGGTTTGATTGTCAGAGGCCCTTGCTTGTCTGCTCAGGATCTGGGTGGTGCAAAAGAAGCCTTGCCCCAATTTTCATAGCTATGCAAGGATTTTCCCCAATAGTAGGCCCTGATGTACCCTATGCTTTGTAGAGTGAAGGGGTTGTTTGCTCATGCTCTCTACCTAGGATGTTGAAAAATAGGTGGGACGTTGGCCGTCTCCTCACATTAGCTGCAGCCTCATGGACAAGGGAAATTGTTCCTCCTCACAATCCTCCTTCTTCCCTCCCCAGCTTCCCCTCCAGTGCATGCTGAAAGGCATCAGCGAGATTTGCCTGCTGTCTGGTGCTTCTGCTGGTGTGGGGTGGGGGCTGACCTTCCCACTGCTCAGGCCTGAAGCATAAAGCCGCAATCTAGCCTTAATTATGTGTGGGTATTGGTGGCGGGGTTGATATATGTGACTAGACTTACATGACTTCTGCCGCTGGTATGCATGTTCACTCTGGCACTTTTCATTAATGCCCCAGTAGAAGAAATGGGGGGAAATTACATGCCCCCAAATTAGCAGCTGTCATGGGCATTGTCCAGGAAGGGTAATTTTTCTGTTATTCAATGTGACAGTGGTACAGTAATTCCTCATTTAACACGTGCCCGCTTAACACGTTTTCGCAATAGCATGATTTTTTTTTAGGGAACATTTTTTTAATTACGACTGTCCCTAGAATAATACAATTTCCCCAGCAGCCTGTTGCTGGTGGCTGCACGGAGCTTCCCCCACTTTCCTGTAAAATGGCAGAGGGTTTGCCGCTCACCGTGCCGTTCCCCACTGACTCCCCCTCGCCGGACACCTTGCCCCCTCTCCTCCACCCCCGCTTGCAAGCCGGCGACTGGGTTTCCCCAGCCAGCACATTGCCGGTGGCTGCGTGGGGCTTCCCCCGCCTCCCTGCAAAGTGGCAGAGGGTTCGCCGCTTGCTGCACCATTCTCCAGCGACCCCCCCCCCCCCCCCCAGACACTGTGCGGATCCCGGCAGACCCGTCACAGGGGCATACTCCCAACCGAAACCTCCTCCCCTCTCCCCCCCTTTCCTTCCCCAGAGTCAAACACCTCCCCTCCCTGCTGTAACCCAGTTCCCTTTCTCCCCCAACCTTATGTCCTGGTCCCAACAGACACCACCACTTGAAACGCAACCCCCAACTTTTCCATTATTTTCAGTGGGAATATTGACCCCGCGTAACACGTTTTCACTTAACATGATCATATTCTGAAACATATCTATACTGTTAAATGAGGAATTACTATAGTCACAATTCTTACATAAGAATATCAGTTCTCTTCACTGTAAAGACTCTGATCTCAGCGTTGGCTTTTTTATTCCTTTACGTGCAGGGATGGTTTAGAACAGAGCAGTAGGTCCTATGCTTGTCTCCATAATAAACTCAGAGAGATAACAGAGAGAGGTAAAAAGGGGCTGATTTTTTTTTCTTACCTGAGAACTGTGATATATAAACTTTGGAAGACTTGATCTGTGTGTATACACATGCACAGCACTTTATGAAATTGTTTTTTCTCATAGATTTAGAAGGCACAGGGTCACTCCTAGCACTTAGAAGGTGAAGGAGTAATTCCTGCAGAAGGCAGGTAGTAGAAATGTACCTCAGTTGCAGCTGTCAGAACTATAATGGAAACGAAATGTTATCTTGACGTAACATTTAAGAAGCCTTTTCCTTTCACATGGGCCTTTCAAGCATTTTCCCCAACTATACAAAATGTGGTTGCATACAATTTTCTGGACCATAGTCCCTACTATCCTTGCATATTTGGCTGAGAAAACTGAAAGAGGCAAGAAGAAAAAATAGTAGAAAAGAAGAGGTAACCCTCCCCCCCACCAGAGGAGTTAGGTTGCATAGCTAGTCATGAAGGTCCTGTTTGTCTCTGATGGCCTGCAACATGCACAAGCATTTACACTTGTGCAAAGAACCTATCCTTTCCATTAGAAATAAGCCTGCTGCATGACAAAAGTCTCATTAACTTCAACAGCAGCAATATTTCTTAAGAAATTAGCCTATTTGGGGAACAATTATTAGGAGCTAAATTGTGCCCTCAAATACCCATGTACAACTCCCAGAATACCCATGTACAACTCCCATTGAGGTCCACAGAATCTTTTTGTGCATACCTGAGATAGGAGTTGACCATCAGCTTATTTCAATTTCACTTTTAACAACAACTGATTCTACAGTGCCTCCCCAGGTTGGTTTGTGCACCTTTGACCTGGGAACTTGCCTTTGCAACAGAATATTCTTCCAATTTGAATGTGGAAATCACCAGGCAAATCTCGTACAAAGTCACTAGTTGAAATTTTGCCAACAATACATTTCTTTCCTCCTTAGTAAAGACGTATATTTCTGGTTAGAACAAAGGATCATATACTGAGATACTGACAGCAAAAGCAAAGCATTCTGTATACAACTTAGGTAACACATCAGCTACTTGCAAATGTATACATATAGCTGCCAGAGGCACAGGGTCCAGTCCAGTGTTTCCTGTAAACTATGAGCTTGCCTGGCCATTCAAAAGAGATTCAAATGCTGCCCAGCTGATTAGCCGAGCACCCATAGCTAATTTTTTTGTTTCTACTGGTGATGCACATTCACACATGCATCAGTGCATATAAAAATTTATTCTGCATGTGGATGGAAAAAATCCACACATGATGGAAAAGATTAGCGGGAACATTGGTCTAGTCCAACTCCTGTTCAAATCAATGGGAAAAACTCCCAACGATTTTTAATGGTAGCAACAGTCAATTTAGAAGTAAAATACAGTGAAAAATAAGCACGGAAAATTCCATTTGGTTAAGCATGCTAACTTTTGGATTCTTATCTATTCAGGCGTAGTCTAAAAATAGAACCAGATATGTTGTGAGACTAGGCTGTTCAGTAATATTTCCATTACTTTTTTGCTTTAGTGAGAAATGTCACAAAATTATGTTTTTCTCTTGTTATTTCTGTTTCTTATTGGTGTCAGGTAATTCGGAGAGTGTGAAAATGAAACTGAATAACAAAACTGAAAAGCTGTTTTTGAGCTCTAAAATGCTTAGTTTGGCTTGAATTTGATTCACCGTTTGTGATCAGACATTTATATTTTATTTTTATCCAGATATGCACATCCATTGTTAGAATATTTGTGGTCAGTTATATCATGAACATGAAGTCAAATTGCAATGTAATTATCAGT